GTAATACGCGCTTCTCCCTTCCGCGGAAAACCCTCCGCGGACCTCCCCTCCGCCTGCGCCGAATCCGAGCCTCCCTTCCGCGCTTGCGCCTGCGCTTCCGCCATACATCCTTCCCCGCCCTTCCCCGCTGCTTGCAACACTCCGCGTGCGCCTCTCCGCCCCGCCCGCACCACCCGCGCCTCCCCCCCCGTCAAAACTCCCCTTCACCCCCCGCGGCCGGGCCACCCACCCCATAGCCGGCCCGTCGTTCCTCGCCGGCGAAAGCGCCTCATGTGGCCGGTAAGTCTCCTGCGGCCGGTAACTTTCCGGCCGGTAAGTTCCGGGAAGGCTCATTCTCCTCGGCTCGGGCGGCGCGAACCCAAACGACCGTTCGCTCGGCGCGCGTACAAGCCCCCCGATAAAAGAACATCTGCCATTATCCGACCCGCCGTTCCTCCACGACGGAGCCGCCAAATCTCCGGACGCCCTGACGGACGACGTCACCTCCACGGACCGACGGAAATCGTTAAAATCTGACGGACGTCGGAAATCGGTCAAATCCGAGGGGTCCGGGGACGCGCTGCGTGCCAGCTTGGGCCGCGGCGTCCATCCGAACCGCTGAGGGCTAGCTTGGGATATCATGGGGCTAGCGTGGGCGGTGTGGGTGGCTTGACTGATGTGCAGAGGCTGCACGACCTGGGAGCGTCCGAATCGTTCCGGGGTAGCAGCTCGCGGTAGCAGCTGCAGCTGCTGGGTACGCTCCGCATGTTCCGCCGCACTCTGCGGCTGCGTGCTGACCGTTACAAGCGGCTTGTATTGAGCCGACTCAAAACCCGCCGCACTCTGCGGCTGCGTGCTGACCGACAAACGCGGCTTCTGGGGAGCGTAAAGAGTCAACGGCGAGTCGCTGGCATCTCCCTGATTGGTAACCGTGGAACGCGGCGACTTTTGCGGAGCATCGAAGAACAAAGCCGGTTCCGTTATTCCCGCGTGGTTACTAACCGTTACAAGCGGCTTCGTCGCCGTATCAGAGCAATCAGAATCCGGGAGCAGCAGCTCCGTTGTGCTCTCCTCCTCCGTTTCCGCAACCGTATTCCCCGCTTTCGCGACTGAATGCGGCTTCTCTGCCCCCGACTGCTGCTCCGTACCGAATGCCGCTTGCGCTTGCTGCTTCGCCGTGATACGCGCCGGCCTCTCCGGCTGCTCTTCACCTGTCGACTGGCCAGTCTGCAGCGCCACCTCCGCCGCATTCTCCGGGACCATTTCCTGCTGCGTCTTCTCCTGCTGCTGCGGCTGCCGCTTCTCCTGATGTTGCGGCTGCTGTGGCTGCTGCTCCTGCTCCTTCCCCTTCACCTGCTGCTGCTCCTGCTTCTGCTTCTGCTGCTGCGTGTTCCCGAGCTCACGACTCACGGTCCTCCCCTGCAGCAATCCTTCCATGGCTGCGTCCGCTACTCTCACTTCTTGCCGAGACATTTGTGCCTCCACTGGTGCTTTCTCGAAGTGCTTCACGAGCCTTTCAGGAACAGACTGCCGAGGCTGCTGCGTGCTCTTATCGTAAAGACCCACGGAAGTCGTCTGCGTTGACTCGTCCCAAGTCGCTACCTTGACCTGACGTGTCTGCTGCAGAATTTTCTCCTCCAAAGTTCTCTCGAGGTTTTCCGGAGTCTGCTGCTGCTGCTGCGGCGCCTGCAGCTGCTGCTCCTGCTCCTGCTGCTGCTGCCCCTTCTGCTGCTGCTGCTTCTCGTCACTAGTTTGAGGAGGTTGGTGAGAAGCCATTACCACTTCAGAGGAAACCCCCATCATTTCTTGACTCGCAGGTATTTCTTGACCCGCGGGCGTCTCTTGAGCCACCAGCCTCTCTCCACCCTCCACCTCTTGACTCGTCATTTTCTCCACCTGAACTTCTAATGGCTTCTCCTGCAATCTACCCCGCACCTGCTCCAGCACCTTCTCATGTACCTCCTCCTCCATCTTCTCCTGCATATCGTCCTCCTTTTTTTCCTTCTTCTCCTCCATCTTCTCCTGCATTTTCTCCTCTACCTTCTCCTTCATCTCCTCCTCTATCATCTCCTGCACATTCTCCTGAAGCGCGACGTCGACTCCCTCAGCTCTCAAACCCGCTCTTCTATCCTCGGTCACCGTGTCGCTACCCTCGTTGGGCAACCACATAGCCGTTCCACCATTCTTGGGAACAGTAATCCTTTCCTCGCTCGCCGTACCCCTATCCGTTCCTCCATCCTCCGCCTGCGAGAGTTCTACGGCAAACGGCGGGGCCAGCGCCGACGTCGCCTCTTGGGACTCGTCCGCGCGGTCGTCAGTAAGGTTGGAGAAAAGGCCCGAGGAGTCTATCGATTCGGCAAATCCATCCAGCCAAGCTACCTCCGACTCGCTCTCCGCCTGGTAAAACTGTTCCTGATTCCCCGCTTCCTCCAAGCTTTGAAACTGTTTCACTTCTTTATTTATTGCTCCTCTCCTCCCTCCTCCGTCCCTCTCTTCCCCCGCAGGTCCCTCGCTTCCTAGCGATACCTCTTCTGAATCTTCCGGGTGAATTAGGTCTAGTGTCTCGGGTTCGGATACCGCATCTGCATAGATGGAACTCTTGGCCGGGGATTCATTCACTGCGCTGGTAGGGAAATCAGAACGACGACTGATATCAACATATTCGGACGCTACAACGTTTTCCCTCCTTAGACTGCACTCCGCGGTTGCTCCTGGAGAGGAATGACTAGGAGCTTCGGATATAGAATCGGGACCCTCGTCTACCTCTCCCCAATCCATTGGCAACATAAGCGTCTATACTCGTAATTTAATTCGGCGACAGTCACTTTATCTACGGATATCTACACAGCTATCAACATGTCCAACAACGGAACTACGACTAGAAGAGAGCTTGATTAATGGTACTGCCTGCTAACTGGGAAGAATTATTCCCGCAAAATTCGGACTGCTGAGCGAGTCAGTCTCCACGCATCAACGAGCGGATCCTATTCTCTGGTCTGCTGAAGAGGCAAAAAAGAGTGTTTAGAACGAGAATTGACGATGTTCGTGAAAGGATTGATTACGTTGGACGGATGGGTGGGTGCGGGGCTGATTGGTGCAGAGCCGACGAAGCTGGAAAAGAATGCCCACATGCTCGCATCAAGACGGATTTCGTTTGGTTCGGAGACCGAGATGCTGTTCGTTGCTTCTGGAGCGTCGATTTTAACGTGACGACAAGACAGAGTCCGTCGAAACCAACAGCGTGCTGCCCGTGAACCACTTCAAACCAGGGCTGGTTGGGGGCCTTACAGGTTGGCGCCCGTATGGAAGGCACGAAGCGCGCCAGACCTCCGTCCGTCTGTTTGGGAGGGGAACACAGCCGTTGACCATGACAAACAGCCCAGGGTACGAGTCGCGTATCCTGTCCCGCCTATATTTGAACTCCAACATCGAGGCTCGTTCAGGAGGTGTGTCAGGCTGAGTGATTTTGTGGTGTTTTCAAATAATGTGTCTACACCATCTAAAATGTCCGTCGCTAACAATGAAACTCCAAAATACTGAACTTCCAGATACTACTGTGCCTTCCAGCTTGTCAGGAGTGCTGACAAGGCTTCGAAGCGAATCGGTACCGGACCGGGTCGTGGCACCATGATCGGTGTTTATGTCCATAACTGCACACCCGACAATAGCACCCTTCGATATGGAGGAAGGGCTGTGGCTACACGTGGCATGTGTCGATCCTTGGCCGAAGACCCGACACCTGGCACTGCAGGCCAGCGTGTCCGTCCTTTTTCTCGAGATCAGTTTCCAATATCAAAGCAAACGACGTGTTACAATTCTCGTTAGTTCGTGAACCGCCACAGATCCCACAACACGGAACCTTTTGCGAACGAAAGCTGCCTTCGCGAACACGGAACTTCCAAGATTGTTGCTGATCCTTCTGCTCCACCTCTCCCTTGCATGAATGTACTCACACGGATGGCTTACTTCCCAGCCCTGTCAAGCATCTAGCATCCCTTTTCCCACATCCTTAGCCAAATTCCGTTAGTGCTAATCGGGTCCCCAGCTTCACCCTCACTTGCATGCACCTGAGCGCTTAGGCCAAGTCGGTTGTTTCGGGTGATTGGGAGAAATATATTGACGGTTTCTCCTGATTGTGCAGATGGTTTTATCGCGCGTGATCTTGAAAATGGAGACCCAAGGCTTGACCCTCCCCAGATGCCATTCAGCCACACCCAGACTACGAAACGTTGCTGTGTGCTTGAGAACGTGCGTTCCAGCATCCTCCTTCTCCCTACAACCAGAAACTAAGACTTCGCTGCCACGGTTCAAGCTCCAGCTGGTACGTCGCCGGTCAGCTGGTTATCATCGTTTTTTAGAATTCTCAGAAATGTATCCAATAGCGGCATTTTCTGTAAGCAGGCTCAACATTCTTATTTACTCCGGTGTGTTGCTGTCTTGCAGGCTAGAGATCAGATTCGCTACCAGAGAATACCAGCAGGTATGCTGAGTCAGCATCGTTCCCTACCACTAGCTTTCTACCCCGTCCATCCCTCCTCTGCTCAGCTCCAATCTCATATCCTCAAATCATTTTTTTGTCAACGCATTGTTCCCTGGTTGCAGTTGCTGTGGCTGCAACTGCGGAAAGTGCAGCGAATTCCGCGAAGGGAGTCAAGGTGCAGATCACGCTGGTCAGGGAATGTGGATTCGGTCAGGCCTTTGGGGTGGTGGGAGGAGCACCGGAACTCGGCCAATGGGAGCCTAGCAGAGCGCTTCAGATGGAATGGTCGCCTGGCCACGTCTGGTCCGCGCAAACTGTGAGTTGTTTTTATCGCCCACACCGTTCTCCCATCCCTTGCACCCCCCAACGTTTTTATCCCCGTTATTCATCGTGAATTATAGTGAACTCGAGTCGAACCTACGGAAATTATCACTCGAAGAATTTATGAGTCTAAACACACTGTATCCGACCTAATCGTCGATTCCGTCCTTGTTTTCGTCAGGTGTTGCCTGCGGGGTCACGGATCGAGTTCAAGATCATCATGGTAACGGAGGGTGGGGATATCGTGTGGCAACCAGGCCCGAATAAGACAGCCGTGGTCTCCAACGCCAAGGGGAAGCAGCTTCTGCACCTCCCCTGGGACAACGAGGAGCTTCCTCCTCTTCCCCGGACGGCGGAAGCAGGCGCAGTGAAAGCAGCTGCGATAGCGCTGGCTCCGGAGTTTCAAGAGGCGGAGCTCGCAAGCGGGAATACATCAGCGAAGGTACGGTCCCAGGGTCTGTTTTCTTCGCTTTTGGGGCTCACATAGCATCGTCGTAGAAAGCTCCACAACTGAGGCGGAAATAGAGGGAGAGCGTGTAATGTCAGAGGAGTACCGAGAGACTAACGTCTCGCGTCCAGTCTAAAGTTAAGCCACTGTCGCTCAGATATGACACCGTCTAGGCACTGTCAGTCACCTACGGCCGCCTAAGACCGACCGATCCACTGTCACCAACGGCTTGCAGGGAGCGGACGGGGAGAAGGCCGAGGCGGATGCAGGCAATGAGCCGGCGGGGAAGGCGGTTGTAGCTCCTGTCGCGCAGGCGAAGATGGGGAGCGGCGAGCAGGCGGAGGAGAAGGCCGCGAAGGAGGCTAGGGAGGAGGCAGTCTTTTCGGAGGAGACGAGTGCTAAGGCTTCCCCTCCGGAACCAGATGCAAAAGAGGTGAGGCATTGGCCTTCAAGCGTGCCTTAGAGCGTGACTTTAGTGATGTTGGCCGGACGAAGGTGAGTGGCGAGACGAGTAGCAGTCTGTCTTGTGGAGGAGAGGGTACGAAAAAACTACGACTTTGTAGCCAACGTCTTGCTCCAGAACTTGGGAAGCTTGGGAAGGGTTAAGGTCGCTCACGCATGCTCTGATGTATACCACAAATGCAGATCTGGGGTCCTCGAAGGTACCGTGGGCGAATCTGTTTCCTTGACCCGTCCCCTGGCCCCCAACACAACCCGCCCCTTGTTGCCTCGCATTCGCCTAAATTCCAGTTTGCTCAGCCCAACTCCGTCCCTCTACTGTTTACCATTCCCCTACATTTCCACTTCAACTGATGACCTGCTTACCCCCTCAACCATGCTGCCGCCAGTTCAACCCCCTCACTTTCACTCCCCGAAAAAAAGCTGCAAGCGAGCCTCCCACTCCCATACGGGAGAGCAGTAACCCATACGGGGAGACTCCCGCTCCTATAACTGTTGCCCCCTGAGGGGAGGAGTTTGGCGTGGCAACAGCTTTAGTTCCGCAAGCCAATGCATTCCGTTGGCAGCAAGTGGGAGGGAGGGGATGAGTTTCACTCATCTTCCCACATGAATGCAGATCTTTGCTTCCTGCCCGCCTTCCAGTCTCTTCCTTCTGCAGCTAATCCGCTCCTCAGTAACACCCCTCGTGGCTTCCTCACACTCATTGCTCCCGTTCTCCGATATTCGGAGCACTTGAGAGGAGCAATATCTCAGAAGCATCTTTTCAGAAAGGGTGGATTCGCCTGGAGCTGAGATAGACGCACGTGCAGTGTGCAGGAAGCAACTGTGGGGGGTGCAGAACTCTTTCCCTTAGTCTCTCCTACCCATCCGCCACAATCTTCCCCATACCCCACAGTCCTCCCCGTTCCCCACAAGCTCCGATATCCCACCTGCCTCATTACCTCTCACGAGCTTCCCGATCTCCCACAACACCCTCCCCCCTCCCCTCCCTCCCCTCGCGGATAAGTTCGCCATTCAAAACCTTTCCGACCCCACTTGATCTCCCCTCTCTTGCTACCAGGGCACCAAGCAGGCGGGGCAAGCCTCGAAGACGGGCCAACCCTCTAAGAAGAAGCCTGCGTCGCCAACAGCTCGAGTGCTGCAGGCAGATGCGGCGTGGGGGCAGCGCGTGTGGGGGTCGCTAATTTCCTCATGGGGACGCCAATCGCTGATGGATGAAGAGACGGACCGGAATTAGGGTTTCACTCCCTCTGAGGAGTTTTGGGGCGCCTCAGAGCTTGATTTCATCGTGGACACGTAAACATTTGACAGACGGAAAAGGATGGATCGGCTTTAGGGTTTCGCGCCATCCAAGTAGCACGTGTTGCTGGCTCCCCTGGTCTCCTACGCAGAAGATGGCCTGCATTACTTGGCATTGTGCATTTCCTAGCATTATTTTTTTGCCTGAAAGGCCCTCGGCCAATTGCTTCATACAGAGATCGCTGCCAACAGTTTAACTACCCTACTACTGAGGCACAAGCACTAGTCTGCCATACATGCCTGAATGGGTGTGTCACCCAGGCAATAGGGTAACGAGTAGCATGCATGTAGCTCCTCCTGGTCTAGCAAACAAATAAAGGCGGTTAAAACCGTAACACAATGACATTGGTGATGCAAGTCTTCTCACTACAAAGGCTGTTACGAGCCTTTGACTTGGACCCGTTGATTGTCTGAGTTTGGGAGCAGGTACGGAAGATAAACTGTTAGGTCATGTACGTAACCAGGGCTGACTTTATCAGACTAAAATAGTCTGATTGTCTGAAATCTCAGGGTATTTTCCTACAGATCCTGATTTTTCAGACTTGTAAGATTTTCAAACATGAGTGCCTCAGACTTACTTGGTTTTGGATCCTGAGATTTTCAGAGTACTGACTTAGCCGATAATGGGTCTTCATACTACAGGGAGTACGGATCCTGAAATGCGGATCTGTGATTTCTACGTACATTCCGCTACGTCATATGTTGCCAGCGTACGAACACACTTCATGGCGCTGTCACGCGCAGAATCTGTCCTTGGCAACTTTTGCCACCCTTTTCCCTTAGAAATCTGCCAACTTGGCTCACTCTTCCACTCACGCGGGACCATCACTGCAGCTACGCGGTGTCAGCGAGGGAAACTGGTTAGCGTTGCGCCCCACGTGCTACATTTGTGGCAGTACTGTACTGCAGTGGTTGTAGTGTGTTCTGAGTACTTCAGACTTGTGTTTTTGCGGAACCTGAAAAATCAGAGTGGCCATTCTCTGGGAAATATGCCTCAGACTAAAAATTTTCAGAGCCCCCAGAACATCAGACTGGATATTTTTGAATAGTCAGCCCTGTACGTAACATAATTTTCTCAGGTAGACTACCGTAAAGTTCCGCCTATAGGACCCGCCGGTAAGAGGGTCCCCCGGGACTCTTGAATGGGTAGGGGGACTCTTATTGTGGCAGGTTTTGTGAGGACCCCCCTTTTGCCCCTAATCATCATAAGACCCCCCTTTTCTGTATACAGTAGTTGTGATTGCTATTGTGAGTCAGCTTTGATTGGCAAAAAATCGAATTCAGACACACCTTTTGTGTCAGACTCGAATTCTGACACTTTGTTTGTGTTAGACTCGGATTCTGACACAGATCTGACGCGCCGCTCGCGCGAAATCTGCGCACGAAGGCTGTTTTTCGTTACGAATATAAGACCCCCCCGCCCCAAATTAAGCTGTACACCCTAAAAAAACAGAATGATAGTTGATAAATAAGCGTACCCCGGGTCCTATAGGCGGCACTTAACGGTAGTAACTGCATGCGGAAACCGAATGATAGTTGATAAATTTGCAACCGCCATAATGTCCACCCTAGCATTTTTTGGAGCATTTGTAGAGAGTCCCCCGGGTCCTATAGGCGGCACTTTACGGTAGTAACTGCATGCGGAAACCTAAGAGATTACCGTATATTGCACACAGCTTGATGGTGGCAACTCAGCCACCAAGGGATAATTGTGGAAAAGAGGTCCTAGCAGAGCAGACGGCATCAACATCATGATAATGGAAAAGCAAGCCCTTCTTAGAATTACCTCCCTGCACTGCAGCTTTGCAAGCACGGCAAGTAAGGAGTAGTACCTAGGACTCTCCATATTTCCCCAGTAAATTTCCGAATTTAGGCCTAATGTCCGAAAATGTGCAATTCATTTCAGGCGTGGTACCCTCTGCTTCCACTCAGCTACGAAGCCTCCATGTCTAATCCGACATGGCAGGAACGGCATCGGCATGCGTCCTTTGAGCTCCTCAAAAGTCTAACTGCTTCTCTTCACGCGTGGTACCCCCCTCTGCTGCCGCTCATCTGCGAAGCCTCCATGTCATAATCCGACATGGCAGCCGCCGCTTCGCCATGCGTCCACTGCTTGTACTTGCCCTTGAGCTTGTCCGACAGCTGATGCTTCGACGAAGCTGCGGCGTTAGCCGCTTCCGCGTTCGCGCGGCGGTCCGCATCCTCCTCGCGCTGCATCTTCGCGACGAGCTTCGCCGTCGCGACCGCTTCGAGATCCTCGTTATAGTCAATGAACCCGCACACGTGGATCATCGTCGCGAGCAGCAGAACGACCATTTGCGCGGAGAAAAGAACGAAGTAAAGCGCGCCGACGATTCTCACGTACTGCTCACCCACAGCTTCCGTCGACATCGTCGGATCAATCGCATTGACGGTGTTGTTGAACAGGAGGAAGGTGCAGAGAAACGACGCGCATAACCCGGAGGAGCTCACGGCGAGGCAGAACATGTGGCAGTTGAAGCAGCCCGCCTGGCCTGAGGAAATCGTACCGAAAAGCCCCGAGATCATAACGAGGATGCCGAGCAGGATGAAGGCCCAGCCGGTGAGTGTAGGCGAGGACCTTATAACGAACTGGAGAACGACGGTGGAGAGTGCGCCGAGGACGATGACGATGTTGACGAATCGCAGGAAGCTCTTGGACATCTCCGAGATGTTGCCCTTGAGCGACTTCTGCGGCTTCGCCATGGCGACCTGCTGCGACGACTGCGACGGCTGGATGCTACCTGCTGCGCTGCGAGGATAGTATGGAGCTGCAACTGCGGGATCCACGAATACCTTAAATCCGGAAGGCACGGAGCTGGAATATGCGAAACAGTTGGACCCCTGTTTCAAGACCTACTGTAATGGTAAACTAGGGAACCACTTTCCTACTGTTCCTGATATCCCGAACCCTATTTCAGCTAGTGTTTCCCTGACCAAGTCCGATCGAGTCGTGTCTGTGGGGAAACAACCTCTCAGTCAGGGAGCAATGACGGATGCTTTCCAGCACAAGGCTCCACACGTTTGAGGTTATACGAGGCAGGCAATGTCCTGCTAGTACCGATAGAACTTATAACACCAACGGGATAGAACTGAAGACAAGGCTAGGAGTGACGAATCGTTGCAGCAAAGGTAGCACAGGAGCAGGCTTGCGGACGCGAGCAGTCAGCAAACGCATTTGAGGGGTATCAAATATAGAAAGCGATGGATATGCGAGGAGGAAAGCACCAACTAGGAGTCAGGCATACTAGTCGTGTGAGTTCAAAGCAGTGGTGAGATTGAAGGCGGAAGGGAACAAACGAGGCGGAGCGAAGCACAGATTGAACTCTTGCTGCTGAGCTCTAGCTTCCCAAACTCGGCGAACCATACCAACAAGCCTGTTATTGGGGAAGCACCAGTAGAAAGCTTGATCGTGGTTGATAGCGGTTAGTCAATCTTGACGAGCTGAAACCAAACCGAAAGTCGCGGTCAGGAGGTGCGGCTGCGCGGGACTGTCTGTCGTCGACACCTGTGCGACCCGGCGAACCATCTGGTCAGCTTTCAGGCATCCCCTTTCCGTCATTCACCTCGATGCTTTCGCCAATCAATTTCGCGCGGCTGGAAATATGTCCGCTGATGGGGGAGCCGGGGGCGCACAAGAGTGTGGGGGAAGGGTTCGGGAATATCGCGGACAAATCGGGGTTGCGGGAAGAAGCAGGGTGGGAAGGAGTGGTGGGGGTGGGAGCCGGAACGCGCTGACGCCGCAGAGCGAAATCTGCAGCTGCTGTAACCAGAATTTAGGTGGGGGAAATGCGTGTCGCACTGTTCGCATGACCGTTCTGGTTTTTGGTGCAAGGCGCTTCGAGTGGTGTCAGCGACCCAGGGATTTGTATTCGATAAGGCAGGCATCCTTAGTGGACAAAAACCCGTTTCACGAGTAAATATTGGAGCAAATGTAGAGGTCGTTGAAGGGCTCATTCAAACGCAGTCCATACCACACAGAATCGCAACCACTTTCATGCAGCTGGTAAGGGAGGGGTTCAACGCGGCTCTGTGGGGTTGAAAGAATAATAACGTGCACTAAGTGCGGTGGCGAGCGACGTCACGCGCTCCAGTTTCCCAGCCTCGAGATTCTCAGCTTGCACCCCCCATCCGTACGATCTTGAGTCCGCCACGAACTGTGAACTCCCATTTCGTACTGTACCACCACCGTCCTTCAGTGATGGGTCTCTCAGGTAGACACAATCATCAAGCGCTTCAAACGAAACAGCTTTTGCGCAAAAACGCGTACGCATCTGGACACCAGTGGCTCCGCCCAGTCCCCAGTGAACACAACACCAGCTAAATAGTATCCTCACGTCATGTGGTTCGACTCGACTGTCATTCCATAGAGCTCTATGCATTTCAGGGTAGTTATAGGCCATAACCTAACTCCTGTGCCTGGCTTCGGCACGAGTCGTGACATTTTGCTCGTATTAGCGACTCGAGTATAGATGCCTGCTGTACTATTACGGCACGGCTTTGACTACCCTTGTTTGTCGCAACCTAGTGTTAGCTTCGAAAGATCTGAGAGGTGTCTTCCGTCTCTGTAACCTGACTGTTTTGGTTCCAGATACGTTTCAACCTTTGGTTCCTGCAACATTCCGTACGCGTTTGTCGACGACTCGTTCCACAAACGCCGCTAACCCTTCAGGCTTCTCGGTAGCAGTGCCATGCAAAGCAGTATTCCTCAGTATAAATGTATAAAGTAGAAATCGCGTTTTGATAAATCAAGTTAATATTCACGAATTTATCGTAAGACCAGAGAGTATAAGCAGATATTGTTCGGCTTCGTCGCAGTGGACCTTATAGTAATACCAAGGAATACAATAGAGACCGACTCGCGTAATTCTACTTATTTGTTGAAGTGAAGTCGAGACAACCGCTGCAAGCCTGAGTTAG